TTTGTTACGCACTGGTTCATCCAGAATCTGATGGAAGTGGGAATTGCAGCACAGTGGAATGCCCAGGAAATGTGGCTCCCACTTCCACAGAAGATAGATCTGTCACAACTAGAGCCATTTTCCATGGACCTTTGTCCCATGTATATTTCCTCCAAGGCTTTGAAAGCACAGCTATGTTTTCTTCTTTGCGGCTAGTGGCAGGCCTCCTGCTAACTGAATGTGTATGATATACCACTCCCTGCAGCAGAACTAATTTATGCTTAAATTGTGCAGTATAATTTATGTTTTCTAGAGACCGGAACATGGCATGTAGATTGAGTGTTCCTTGGCTATTCATAGCAGTGACCATGCCAAACATGCTTTTGTACCATATAATAGTTTCATGCACAACTGCTGTAGAGGAGCTTGTGGTGGCTGTGCAGTAGAAGTTGATGTTACTACATAACTCGGGGTTGGCAACCTTCGGCACATGGCCCATCAGGGTAATCCACTGGCTGGCTGCAAGACCTTGTCTTGACATTGACCATTTGCAGGCATGGCCCCGCGCAGCTCCCGGTGGCTGCGGTTCGCTGTTCCCAGCCAATGGGAGCTGCGGGAAGTGACGGGCCTTTTCCTTCCTTGTTTCTTGCTGTTCCCTCTTTTCTTTCAGACTGTTCCTCTCACAAATTTGGATTATTGTCATAGACCTTGTAGCCATTTAAGAATAACTAGACAGCAAGGGCAAGATTATATAGCCCTTACTTACCCATTGGAGTCAAAGGGACTATGCACATAAATAAGTGCTCAACAGCCTGAGAAAGGGTTCCACAACTTAGCCCCAACACTTGAAACGTGTTGTTACTTATGTGTTTATTAGAGGTCCCAGAAAAAATTATTTAAATTGAATAGACACTTCTTGTTCCAAAAGAACATTTATATATAAGGTTAACGTTGTACAAAAAAAATACAGAAACATTTATTTTCAAAATTTCTGCTATACAAAACCTAATGGTACAACATAATAAATTAAGCTTGCTGTGAAAAATTACAGATACCTTTCCATTTAATAACTGATGCTCTAGGGTAGATTCAATGGTGGCCATGCAGTTACACCAATAATCTATTTCAATGCTTTTATGATGAATCTTAGATTAATCTCACTCTTCCTCATTTCATTTCACAAAAACTATAAAGAAGACATATGGTCGTATTTTAAAATGTTATTACAGAAAGGGGGCTGATTAAAAATAAGAGCAGCCTAAAACGTCCTGTTTTCGATTATTGCTGTTACTCTCACTATAAATGTTCATCTAGTGTTGCTGAGTTATGATGTTCCTCATTTAATATGCTAATTATATGCTAATATTTCCATCAATTTTGGTCAGAAATTGCCTTTCAGGTGCATTTCAGAAGTTGAAATAAATAATGTTTCACATGCTGGGAGAGATCTCTGTGCTGTATAAAGCTGCACACCATTGATTATAAAATAACTTCACTCGACTTAATAATTAAAGAAAAAAGCCTGACTACCTTGGCTAGATATTGGGGAGCTACACAGGGATTAGAAATCCTATTCCCCACAATGCTGCCCTGCAGAGGAGATTTGCTTCATGGCTACCAGTCCAATTTGATGGGTGAAGTAGTCTTTTGGTCCCCAGCCAACCATCACATCAGATACTCTGGTCCTAGACCTCCCCAAAACTCCTAGCATGACAACATATGTTAAGCCCTCTGGAGCTGTGAATTCCACACACCCTCCCATAATCTCCACATATCCTACTCTCTTGGGCAAGTGGGAAAGAGAGGGGGAAGAATATTTGCCCATAAATGCAGAAAGCTACACTAGTGCTGCTTATTTTTCACATTACAAATTAAGTTCTTATCCAGGCGGGAAGACTCTGGAATGACTGGTGAACTAGTGAAACTGTGAGATCACAAGAGTCATGAAAGTGAAAACTGAAGAACTGGGCAGAGAGAGGATTTTTCATGAGACTGTTTAACATTTTATTTTATTTGTTTTTGTTAAAATTACAGAGAGGGGGAACCTTTGTTAACTATTCAACAGATTTGCCCTTTGTGGGATTATTGCTCACAGTACACATCCTTGAGACCACCCAGAAGTTCTCCAACAAAACAAAGGAAGAGCAGATTTGACATTATTGATCTTTCTAATGCTAAAAAAAAAAAGAAAAAAAAAGGAAAATAAATCTTCCGAGAATGACTTTTAGCAATTTAAAAGGTAAATTAAAAGGTACTCATAGAATTATGAAATGTCTAATAAACATACATCAATTTACCATCAAATATGCCACTAATTCATATTTAAATAACAAAGAATTAATTAAAACATCATCATCTTCATTTAGGTGAGCTTCCTTTTAGCATAAATGTGTTAATAATATTACTTTAGCCTCATTATAAATAGAAAACATATTTTTAAATTGTTCATATGCTTCAATTTTTCTAAAACAGCAAAAAAGCTTCAAAACCTAATGACATGAATTCAGGAAGAAAGGCCAAAAATTTCTTCTATAAATTCAAGTAGTTCTATTAGTAACAGGGAAAATAAAATCTTTTTATCTAAACATTATGTTATCCTTCTTTCTTCCCATTATGTTCATAATACTATGTTCCTGATCTCAAGGCCAGGCTAGAGTCACTATAAATATTCTATCTGATGTAGATGAAGCACATTGATTTAAGTGGGGAAGATTTGAATAGCGTACCTCTAAAGAGCTGCCACAGTCGATGTGGGTTTGAGGATGAGCTCTTCTCACTCCTTAGAAAATGCCTCATGTAGCCGGCATAATATATAGCCTGTGACAGCTACAATCCTATCACTTGCCTTGTCATGGTGATGGTGTTCTTAATTGAACGTGAGAGTGGAAAAGGTGAGTGTCTGGCGCCTTATAACCAGCTTGCTCTGGGCAGAAGTGCCTCATTAGCCATGGTAGGCAGCTCACCAAGAAGGGACTCCGATTTCAAACCAAGAACATCAGGCCTGGCCAAATGGTTTGCAAAAATTGTGCCAATCACACATGCTCCATGGGTCTTCGTCTTTAGGGAGTATATCAGTAGAATGTCAGGATGTCTCCTGGAAACGGAGCACAAGTTCGTTGCCTGATGGCTGTGGAAAATGGAAAAAGGCTACTGCATTCTGGGTGCATAGCTGGTTAAAGAAGCAGGCCCAAGCACCATGTTTGGCTTCCCTGAATGTGGGAACAACAACAGGGAAATCAAAAAAAGTAGCTGAGAAGCTGAAGAGAAGTGCAATGTTTTGTCGAGCGGAACAATGAGAAGCCAGTAAAAATAGATGGTATAGAATTTAAGTCTGTGCATTAAATTAGGGCTGTCAAACAATTAAAAAATTAATACCGATTAATTGCGTGATTAATCACACTGTTAAACAATAATAGAATACCATTTATTTAAATATTTGTGGATGTTTTCTACATTTTCAAATATATTAATTTAAATTACACCATGAAATACAAAGTGTACAGTGCTCACTTTATTTTTTATTATAAATATTTGCACTGTAAAAAACAAAAGAAAAAGTATTTTTCAGTTCACCTAATACAAGTACTGTAGTGCAATCACTTTATCATAAAAGTTGAACTTACAGATGTAGAATTATGTACAAAAAATAACTGCATTCAAAAATAAATCAATGTAAAACTTTAGCATCTACTAGTCCGCTCAGTCCAAGTTCTTGTTAAACCAATCGCTTAGACAAACAAGTTTGTTTACATATGAAGCAGATCATGCTGCCTGCTTCTTGTTACGTCACCTGAAAGTGAGAACAGGCATTCACATGGCACTGTTGCAGCCAGCATCGCAAGATATTTATACGCCAGATGTGCTAAAGATTCATGTCTCTTCATGCTTAATCCACCATTCCAGAGGACATGCGTCCAGGCCGATGACAGGTTCTGCTCGATAACAATCCAAAGCAGTGTGAACTGATGCATGTTCATTTTCATAATCTGAGTCAGATGACACTAGCAGAAGGTTGATTTTCTTTTTTGGTGGTTTGGGTTCTGTAGTTTCTGCATTGGAGTGTTGCTCTTTTAAGACTTTTGAAAGCATGCTCCACACCTCATCCCTCTCAGATTTTGGAAGGCACTTCAGATTCTTAAACCTTGGGTCGAGTTAGAAATCTCACATTGGTACCTTCTTTGCGTTTTTCAAATCTGCAGTGAAAGTGTTCTTAAAATGAACAACATGTGCTGAATCATCATCAGAGACTACTATATCATGAAATATATGGCAGAATGCAGGTAAAACAGAGCCGGAGACATACAGTTCTCCTCCAAGAAGTTCAGTCACAAATTTAATTAACGCATTATTTTTTTAATGAGCATCATCAGCATGGAAGCATGTCCTCTGAAATGGCGGCCGAAGCATGAAGGGGCATATGAACGTTTGCATATCTGGCAAATGTAACTACCTTGCAATGCTGGCTACAAAAGTGCCAGGCGAATGTCTGTTCTCACTTTCTGATGACATTGTAAATAAGAAGTGTGCAACATTATCTCCTGTAAATGTAAATAAACTTGTTTTTCTTTGCGACTGGCTGAAGAAGAAGTAGGACTGAGTGGACTTGTAAGCTCTAAAATTGTACATTGTTTTGTTTTTGAATGCAGTTATGTAACAAATCTACATTTGTAAGTTGCATTTTCATTGTAAAGAGATTGCACTACAGTACTTGTATGAGGTGAACTGAAAAATACTATTTCTTTTATCATTTTTACAGTCCAAATATTTGTAATAAAAAATAATATAAAGTGAGCAGTGTACACTTTGTATTCTGTGTTTTAACTGAAATCAATATATTTGAAAACGAGAAAAACATCCAAAATATTTAATAAATTTCAATTGGTATTCTATTGTTTAACAGTGCGATTGAAACTGCGATTAAAACTACGATTAATTTTTTTGAGTTAATTGCGTGAGTTAACTGCCATTAATTGACAGCCCTAATTGAATACTTTTATTCAGTGTTGAGTCATGGGAACGTGAATGTGGATGTTAGGAGCAAATGAAGAGTGCTTGGTGTAAACAGAGGAGTTGATGAGAATTTTATACTATAAGAATATGTCACATAAACCAAAGAGCAAAGTGTAGAAGTTCATGATTAGGCCAGCCATGACATACGGGTCAGAATGCTGGCCAATGAGGAAGACAGAAGAACAACTACTTCCACTACCAAAATGAGAATGTGCAGGTGGATGCTGGATAAGACAAAAACTGACATACTATGCAGTGAAACAGTATGACCCATGATGGAGGCAGGTCCCATCATGGAAAAGCTCAGGGAGTATCTGCTGAGATGGCTGGGTCATGTGAGATAACGAGATGTGAGATATGTTGGCCACAGAGTACAAGAGCTAGTAGTCAGAGAACAAAGAGCATGAGGAAGACCTAGAAAAAGGTGGTTCAAGAAGCTGAAGGAAGATATGAAGAAGGTTGGTTTCAGCTTAGATGTACTTGACAAAAATGCTTGGAGATGAGGAACAAGAACTGCCAAACTGGATTGATGGGACAAGGCGAAGGAAAAAGAGATTTGAGTAGCGTATGAAATATTTTTAGAATATGTAACAAAGGGTCAAATTTTGTAAGGGAATTCAATAAAGAGAAAATTCTTACAGACACTGCCAAAGGTTTTGGAATAACTAATTTTCTTGTACCCCCAAATTTTCCATACACACAATTTTCTGATGTACCAAAACATTATTTTTCATTAACCTTGCTAGAGATTTAGAGCTTTTACCCTACCGAAGTCAATGGCATCTTTTACATTGACTCCAGTAGCCTTTGAACCAGGCTCTTAGTACTCCCATTTTGCACTTGTGCTTCATTATGTCTTCTCTTAGAATTTTCCCATTTTTTCTATAGTTAAGGTTCTTTGATCCAGATCTTAAATATTTGATGAAACTGGACCTAATTTTGATTTAAAAAAAATCAAATTAAGACTACAGAATTTGAATAGTTTCTAGTTAAACTTTTGAAGTGATTTATTTTGTTTAGGGGTTGATCTGTGAATAGCTAATTGAACTACTTCAACAGTAGTGGAGCCCCTCTGGGAAACTGGGAGAAGACAACAAATCTGCTCCTCATATAACCAACGTGCTTTATACTGCAGTATTTGACTTTGTTTGGTCCAAGAAAGAGCAGCAGTGGGAAGGAGACATGGATTTTAACTGAATACTCTTTGTTTCTGCACACCTGCAGGGAGCATAGCAGGACACTCAGCTAGAAGGACCCAGAAACACTACTGGTGACTGGGATATAGTTATTTTATAGATCAGCAAAGTCCAGAGTGTATAGCCAGTCAACTACTTTTAGAAGAGATATTTTGTTTTATAGGGTAGCCATATTGAATTGTTCCTTGATTTAATACTAACTCAGGTTGAGATCCAGAATGGGCCAGAATCTTCCTGTCTTTTTGATTTTCAGGAAGTGCATGGCATAAAACACCGTCTCTCTTTCACAAAGTAGTGGCTGGCCCACGCTCTCCTCTGTGTGGAGGGATGATACAGTATGCTTTAGTGGGGACAGTAAGGCTGCTTTATTGAACATATTAGGGGAAACCTAAGTTTATTCTGATGCAGGTAGTAGGTTTGCTGAGTCCTTATGCTTTTGGTGGTTGAAGCTGATTCAAAGGAAGAACGGTCTTGTGGGTAAGGCAATGGGCTGGGAGTCAGGAAATTTGGAATTATTTCCTGGATTTGCTATCTTTGTGACTTTGCTAAATGACAATCTCTCTTGCTTCATTTTTCCCATTTACACCATGGGGATAATCATGCTTCTGAGATGTTATGAGGTTAAATGTATTAATAGATCAGAGGCACTCAAACTATGCCAATAAGTGGTATAGAAGTGCTTCAAGTGGGTTTATTTTTTTGAAGGATTCTGGGCTGGCCTCATACCAGAATTACTGGCATTTTCAGGATTGTTTTCAGGAGAACCTGGAGTCATAGGTGCTGGAACTAGGAGTGCCGCCACACCCCCTGGCTTGAAGTGGTTTCCTTATATACAGGGTTTACAGTTTGATTCAATGGCTCTCAGCACCGCCACTGTAAAAATAGTTCCAGCATCCCTAGCTGGAGGCATTCCCAATTGCTGGACTGACAGCTGCAGACAGCTCTGACATCCTTGTGCAGTGTGCCCAACTTCCAGGCAGAGATTGCAGCAACTATGCTCATCAATTATAAGCATGTTTTTCTTCTCCATGGACACGCCTCAAAGCTTCTGAGTGGTCTTTCTTCTTCTCAAGGGAATGAGGAATCTGGCATGCAGAAAAATAAGATACTAAGAATGAGACACTTTGGTACTCCAAAACCACAAATAAAACTGAAGCAATGCAGATAAACAAATGCATAAATAAATCACAGAAGCACTGAAATACACATACTGATGGCAAAAGCCAATCACTGAGGTATAGGTGCTGAATCACAGGCCTGAACTGAGGTAAACACAATTAAGAAGAGCAAAGAAGGGAGCTGGCTAGAAGTGGCAAGGGCAGGGCAGCCAAAGCAGGCTTGGCACTAAAACCGATGAAAAGCTGGCACAGCAATGGGAGAGCCAAGAAACTGACCAGACGGCTGCATGGGCGAGCACCGGTGTGCCACCCCGGCTGTCCAACTCTCTGCTCTAGGCAGGGCGTGGCGCCCCGCCAGGGGATCAGCATGGCGGGGCCCTGCCTGTCCCAGGTACATGTGCTGAGAGGAGCTTAAGAGCACCATCTCCTACGAGCCCCCCACACGTACACACTGGGCCTCCTCATCCCGCACCCGGAGGACGCCAGGCAGGGTGGCCCGGCGCGGGAGCTGGGGAGAGTCTTCTGAACGGCCGTCGCCCCCCGCCCTCCCGGAACCATCCGGATGCGGGGGTCGGGTGTGTCAGATGCAGACCGCCCCAGCCCCTACGGGGAGGCCCGGCGTGGCCACACGCTCCTTCTCCCAGCGCAGGTTTGAGCCAGGGCGGGCGGGAAAAGCCGTTGAGAGAAATCGAACAGGACAGACAGCGGTGCCCGCGCGCGCCCACGGGGCGAGGAAGGAGACGGAGTAGGACGGGCGCGCGCATGCCGCTTTCGGCAGCGGCTGCGCGTGCGCCGTAGCAGGCGCTTACCTCATTGTCAGCCGTCAGCCCCGGCCGCGGAGCGGGCCTGATTTCCGGGGGAGGGGCCAGAGCGCGAAGGACACGGCCCGGGTGTGCGCGGAGCCCGGCCCATCCCACCCCTTAGCTGCCAGGCGCTGCCGGCATTCATCCGAGACGACGGGACGCGGAGCCCGGGCCCCGCAGGAGGAGACCGCACAGACCCCGACCCCATCCCTGTGGTGAGTGCGGCGGCGGCGGCGGCGGGGGGCGAGTGCAGCAAGACCCCTCCCCACTACGCCGGGAGTACTGGGGGGCTGGACCCCTCCCCTGGGCTGTGGGGTTGGAGGTCCCTTCCCCACCCCTTGGCCGGGCGTCTTGCTGTCGATGCAGCCCTCCCATCTCGTGGTGCCTGGGTGGGTTGGGGCTTGGCTGTGATTTGCTGGCTGTGCCGGGGATGCTGCAGCATCACCAGGCTCCTAGGCCAAGGGGATGTGTCATGAAAAACATGAGCCGCCTGGGGAGGAGGGAGGCTCTCTCTGCATGATACGCTAATAGCAGGGCGCAGCCTTAACCTTTTATCTTGTCTGAATGTCACTTGCAGCAGCTGATGGCTTCGCAGCGTTGACTGCTGTGCTCCCTGTGCCAGAGGTGTGGCCATCGTGGGCCGCAGGGCTCTACACCAGGGTCGCCATGCCCGTGTGGGGCATTCTTTGGGGGCAACTGTAGCAGGATGATGAGTTAAAAGTAGTCTTGAGTGGTACACCGCTGCAATCACCTCTTCTCTATTTTAAACATGGCTTTTTCCTGTTGCTAACACCCACAGAAACAATAGAGGAAACCGCTAGTTAAGGCCCTGCTGAAGGAAAAGAATCTGTGCAAAGTGTGAGTCTGTGAGTTTGCCTGTGAGGAGCCCTTTGTAGGGTTGGGGTCTAACATGGGAAATGCACATACCTGAAGTAAACAACCTGAAAAAATAGATAATCTTTTTCTCTGTCTTTCAGTTTTACTCTAGGGGTTGTTTGTAACAATAACAGGAAAATGGTTTTTGGAAAGAAATAAATTCACATTCCATTAATGAGGATAAGACCTTGCCTGTATCACCCATTGCCTTTTGTAACTTCATATTCAATCAAATGTACTTTAATGTGCCAATGCACTTAGGCAACATTAAACCCTAACCTTGACTTGGAGCAGCTCAAGCTCTGTCTTCAAACTGAGGGCTTGTCTAAACTACAAAATTAGGTTGACCTTCAGGTTCTGTGGTAATTAAAACAGCCATTCTATCCACATTACCCTCCTTCTGCTGGTAGTGTGCGTCCTTACCAGGAGCACTTGCACTGACTGAAGTGAGGCATTGTGAGGTACTGACAGCTGGAGTCTGGGGCACTGACCGCTCCAGCTGTGTGCCAGGCAGGGGCTCAATTTGACATCAGGGAACCTACCTGCAGTGAAATTGACATTCCTGTCAGTTTCACAGCTGCTGCTATTTCACATTTCTTCTCTGATTCCTGCTTGAACTAAAAGCAGCTGTGAAACTGACATTCTTGTCAGTTTCACCACAGGTAGACTCAGGGCTGTGAAATCCAGTCCTGTGCTGGGCTAATAGCTTGGGCTGTCAGATTTACAGCAGGGAGTGGGGGGCACTCCCACTGGGAGCCTTGCTGCTGGTCTGATTGCCTGGAGACCTGCTGCAGCCTCATGGGGAGAAGGAGAGTCCAGCTGCCTCCCAGTGAGGGATTTGGTGGGGGAAGGAGAGCCCAGCCTGGGCGATGACTGGGCTTGGGTGGTTCTTCTGCCCCCACCAATTCCACACCATGAGTTGGCGGCAGGGCTCCGGACTGCCAGCAGGTGCTGTGAGTAATGCAGTGTCTACACAGACACACTCACCCTAATTACACTGACCTAAGTGCTATGCCTTTTGCAGAGGTGGAGTTATTAGGCCAATGTATGGGGCAGCTTACATCGGTGGGAGCACCATTCTAGTGTAGACACTGACATAGTTAGGTCACTGAAAGCTGCCTTATGTTGACCTTACTCCGTAGCGTAGACCAGGCCAAAGATTGCAGAACTGAATGGGAACAATGCTGTGGCAGCATACTAGTGTCCAACACAGACATGAGGTAAAGAGGGGAAGACTAAAACATCATGACAGATACGTGGGCCAGTACTTGAGGTAACCACTTGCCTACACCACTCTGTAAAATTTATATTTAACACTTAACAAACAACATTTTCTCATCTCTTCCCATAATGAGAGAACTAAAAATATTTTACTCGTTGTCTACAATGGGTAAAAAATCCCAAAAACCTGTCAGTGGGCAAGTAGAATATTAGAAGGTTGCTCGTCATAGAAAAGGGAGTGAAACTTAGACTTCTAGACTTCGAAGCTGCAATTTGTTTATTTTGTAAAAGTTTTTTGTTTGTTTTTCGAAAACAAAAGCTGAATTCAGTGGTTAATTCACCAGCTTCAATTTGTCGGGGGTTGAAAAGAGTGCATTTGATGTATGGCTTATTGTTTAACTTGGCCTCAAGCGTGTTTTTGTGGGAAGACTCCTGTTGAAGCCATTGAATCTCTATGCAATCATAGAGGTCCACTTGCATGGGTCAGCTTGTTGGATTGGTGCCTTAGCTCTTACCACGTATTTGCATGTTGTGTGTGAGCCTGGAGTGGTAAAATGCTGCTGCTGCTACTACTACTAATTCTGGTGCAACATGTAAGCTTTTATTCTGGTGCATTTTTATAGAACCAAAACCCAATACAAACCATGGAAATGTTTGTAAATTCCAATAGAAACAGTTTTTAAAAAACATTCTTCTCTAGTACTTTCCATTCCAAAGTTCAGCATTATGGTAGTGTTTAGGAACCAAAAAGTTACTTTTATAAACAAAAATGAAACTAATAAACTCTTGAAATTGAAAGGTTTCAGAATAGCAGCCGTGTTAGTCTGTATCTGCAAAAAGACCAGGAGTACTTGTGGCACCTTAGAGACTAACAAATTTATTTGAGCATAAGCTTTCTCTGTAGCCCATGAAAGCTTATGCTTAAATAAATTTTAGTTTCTAAGGTGCCACAAGTACTACTGGTCTTTTTGAATTTGAAAGAAATTCAAAATGTAGACAAACAGCATACATAGTGTAATGGATTCTGTGAAGGTAGAATTGATATATTTTAAACATTGGCTAAATATTGCAAAAGTGAGTGTCTAAAGTTAAGCACCTAGATATGGATATGTCTGGTTGTTATTAATGTAAAGAATTTAAAAACATTATTATGCTCTTTTTATCCTTTGCTCTGTCAGAGCAGATAATGAAAATTGGTTAGTCTATTTTATTTTGTTCATAGTCAGTTTCATTATTAGGTTCCTACTGTTTTGGCTGCAATCATTGTAGGGTATTGTTTTGTAAATACAAATGAAAAACTACTTTGAACAAATAATGGGAATATTTTTACTTTGGAAATTTTCTATTTTTAGTCTTTATTAAACCTTGATTTTTTTTAAAAAAGAAACTCTAAATATTTATCTAAGGAGTTAGTAATGTAGTTACCATGTTTTCTCCCCCAGAAACATGACCTCAATCTGGTCAAATCACGCTTGAGTAACTTTATGTTTAGTCCCACTAAGTGTAATGGGACTACACACGTGTGTAAGTGTTTCTAAGAATGGGGCCTAGTATTTTCAAATCTGACACTCTCCCTTTTAAATGATTAAGATACTAGGAATTTGCCACTGACAGTGAAGAGGTAGCAGAGCTTCTGTAGAACTAGAAGCATCTTGCAAAAATCATGTCTAAATAATAAAAAAATCTTGTTTGCATAAGATAGCTAGAGTTCATATCTCTGGAAATGATAACCTTAATTTTATTCAGTGGATACATTTATTGCATATTCTACTGTGATACTGTCAATATGCTGAAGTGTAATCAACAGGGCTGTCTTTTTAACAAGAGAAAGGTATCCATGTTAGGTTTACATTGGGTGACTCCTTGCCAAAAAGGATGGTAAGGATATCAAATATCTAGTGGTGCTTTCTGTAATTAGGAGGCTAAAATGCATAATTTATTTTATTTCAATTCAAATAATAAAAAGATGCCTATCCAAAGCGCTCTGGGCTGAATATGAGGACAGTATAATATGTGAGAAAACAGAATGAGGGATCAGTTTCTTGAATAAACTTTGGTAACTGGTAAATTTGTCATTAAAACATGTAAAGCATCTAACATGTTCATGTATGAAAGCCCCTCTTCAATATATAGTATCTGAAAATAATTGGTATAGAAAATAAAACAGTTTGGTATAGCTGATTCTCCTTAAAATAAAGTAAAATTTGAATTACAACTTAATCTTATTTTTAAAAAAGTAATACAATGGCTGACACCTGGTGTAAATTTCGCCAACACTGGTTAAAGTTACACATAGGTTGTTTGTGAAAGAATAGTATCTTGTTACATTCCAGCTGTGGGTCTGTGAAGAGGATGTTTGTTTTTTGTGGCTTCATTTTCAGCAGCCAGTCATTAAATGACTTTTACAAGTATAGAAATCTATATGTTTTGAACTATGTATGGTAGTAACCTTTTTCAATTTACATACTACTGTTAGCTTCCAAAGTAGGTTGAAACACATCTTTCGTTTTTCTATTGCAATTTTGCATAGTTTAGGTTGGAGTAGATGCACTCAAAAAAAGTATCCTGAATCAGAGGACAAAAATCTATACATATTTAGGGAATAATCTAGTTGTAAATATGGTTCAAATATAATTTGTACACAAGTAGAGCTATATGTGTGTGTATTTTAAATCTTGTGTATACTATTTTTGTTTTGAGTTCCTTCTGTTGAGGCACACTTTTTACCTTGTTACTTAATCTGAGAGATTAAATGTGCTGAGCATTTAAGAGAAATTTTTGTTAAAACCAGTGTAGAAAGCAGGAGATGGATCCTACAATAAGACTAAGTATATGGTAATTTTCTATTAATTATCACATCTTTGCCCTGAAGGTAATATCTGGCACCTGATTCATTTTTATAGTCTGTGTTATCACAGCATTGTGTAATCTGGTATGACTGTGTGATGTTGTACAGTCTGAGTCAAACGCATACAGGAGAACCTCAGAGTTACAAACACCTTGTGAATGGAGGTTGCTCTTAACTCTAAAATGTTTAACTCTGAACAAAACGTTACGGTTGTTCTTTCAAAAGTTTACAGCTGAACACTGACTTAATACAGCTTTGAAACTTTACTAT